GCAACTGTTGGAGCTAGGATATCTACCTTATCTGACCACTCTCCGCCAAGTTACAATGATGTCACTTACCTCCAACAGCTCCCACCGCCAAGTTACAATGATGTCACCACAAGTGGTGGAGGAACTACTCTACCAATGACGGCTGGTTTGCAAAAACATCCTCATCAGTAAACAAGATCAACTAGTGTTGACCCAGTTAAATAGATGACTTACCTCACCAAATTGGAGGTGATAAAAAACAGTTACGGAGTACGGACTAACGAGTTACTAAATCAAATACTGTTAACAAAATAATATGTTAATATGTTTTATTATTATTAAGCTAATATTAATATTAAGTTATTATTAATAATTAACAAGCACCATGAGAGTAGATGTAGTTGAGTATTTTGATGTGAGTTGAGAGTGCTAGATCTATAATCTCAGTGCTGCTGTCTCGGCCTGTTATCAGTATCCACAGCACTTGGAGCACTTTGTCAGAGATTACTCCTTCCTTGTCGTCCTCTGCCAGTCTGACATTTCTTTCACAAAATTTGTACACAAACTCGACGTGTTGCATCCGAAAGTGGAAATTGAAATAATATTTATTGGAAACAGTACAAATAGTAGATAAAATGAAGGCTCCCGTTCATCACCTTTACAGCTTTACAATATCGTGGATCTATTCTCATTGTGTAAATTAAAATTTGCGATATTATGCACTGTCAAAATAAAGATTTTAAAAGGATAAGAATCCCCGTCTTTATAGCAACTCTCTCATTGCAGAACACAAGTCAGAAATATTTAATACCATCACAAATCCAAAGGTCATGGTTGAGTTATGATAATTATTCAGTTTGGAAAGAGAAATTGTAATCAAGGTACGTAACTAAATATTACACAACCATGTTCTCAAGTATTATTCTCTGCAACATACATAGTCATTTTTGATGACACATTATTTGACTATTAAATTTCATTGCATTGATTTAACTGTCTGCTAAATACATTACATTATTATCTTGAGACTTTAACCCCCATACCAAACCTTTGCAACATCACATCTCCGGCCCCAAATTATAATTAAAAGTCCATCTTTTCCGCCAAGCTTATCTTTGTTTAGAGGTCTGACACTCTGCACCAAATAATACAAGCTTGTTCATAATTACCTATCATCAAGGATTAGAAATTAAGAGATGACAAAATGAGATTCCAAAATTTACCCAAAATTTATTACTATTTACTGGCTAAAATATTGGTACGCAAATTCGTTTCGAGTGTGCTATATTATATCAGTCTAAACTCGATCTTTCCCGATCCACATTTCAATTGTTACGAAGGTAATTTAGGAAATATTTAATATTGTTTTGATTATTGTATTTATGTAAATAACTGTATTGTATTGTATTGGTGTATTTTGTGAATTTGGAAATTTTCCCAAAAAATTTTTCCCGATCTATGGCTTTTTAGAATGTTAAAAAAACCACCACCTCATGGTGTAAGAACGAGAGTTCATGCTAATAAGATCTAGCGCATGTCTTGGATTACATTGGTGTCGCCATGCGTTATAGCTGTTTGCTGGTGTGTCGTATCTATTTCATATAAAATAAAAAGTCTATTGGAACAACGGCATGAAGGGAGAGCAATTAGCGTGGGCATGTAATGCTGATGAGCAAATTCCATCAGCAACCGGCAATAGTTAATTAACCGCCCGGTCGCGGTGCTCAAAACAGGTGTTGTAATTCTCATTTAGCTACGATCAAGAAAGATGGGGCTTACCCAGGCCCGCCACATAAAAAAGAAAGTTGGGATTTTAAAAAATTATACAATAACTTTAAAAAGGAGCAAATTTTGAAATATGATTCGTTATCAAATGAATCACATTCTTGCCTCTTTAAATTTGATCATGACTTATGACTATCCAATAGTCATAGATATTGTGAAGACCTATTGGATATCTTAAGGCAGACTAACGTTTTTCCAGTATAATTGTGAAGTTTTACAGATTAAATGACTTAAAATCTTGTACTAGATGTTATTTCTTCATTCGTTGATTGCATTACGCTCGTCTTCACACTATTGTCTATTAATAATGCACAAATTAGTCACATTTACATAAACTTTAGAACGTCTGTACAGGGATATCATGGAAATCAGAGCAGCGATCTTATCTGTGATATGTCACATGATACTATCAGAATCAGCTGATCCGAAAAAGAAGACGACAGAACACATTGGATGCTACAAACGTAACAGCACAACGTTTGGATGGGAGGATTCAAGCGTCCTGATTAATGTTAACTTTACAACTGATGTGTATCGGGAATGTCAAAACAAAGCAAGAGTGCTAGGTTCGTCAAACATTTACACTTATTTTTATTGTATTTTTACAGGGGGGAGGGGGCAAAAGTAACGTTACATACGTTGCGTTGTTCTTTATAGCTCAGTAACGGATTGCCCGATTGAGGTAATTTTGTTGGTATGACTTACTATCACCACTCATTCTCGAGGAATATGTTGAGTCCAAGAATTTAAGAATATTCATGTTCATTTTTTTTTCGAATGAAGGTTTATTATCACATTCATTAGATAGTTCCGATGATAAGATCGAGCCAAATTTTATAGAATTGTGTTTGGCCATTCAAATTACGTTTGTCCTGAAACAATGAGAGTTGTAGCTTCTCAGATGACCGAGATACGAAGCATGACGAGTTTATTCATTACGCGTGATCAGATGATTCATGATTGGCTTACCTGATCACGTGATTAAGTGAACCCGTTAAATTGTTAAGGCTGCCTATAGCCCAATTAAGGTGTCGTGTCACATAATCACCCAATCAATTTTGTTAACGAGATACACAAAATTCGGCTATGAACAATATTTCCCTATGGGACTAATAGCAGCTGATAAAGTGATAAGTATCACCCCCTGGGATCCGACTTACTCGACTTCGGCTTCAATGTCCAAGCAGATTTATGAGCTTGTTTATCTCCTTGCTGTCGTCAAGCCCTGTGTCCCTCCACAAGATGTCTACATAGGTGAAGTGTGGTCTTATCCTACGACGATATCTGTGAAGAGGAGGTTCCCATAGATAAACCTGATGGGTCAGGTGCTCGTCATGTCCGGCGAGATGACCAGCTAGCCTCATTCTCCGCTCAGCTATCTTATCAGTTGCTCTAATGAGGTGTCCATACACTTTAGCGCTAGTCTGCCGCTCTGACCAGTCTATGTTAATTGCCATTCTCGTATAACATCTGTATATTATAATGTAATATATATAATATACGCTTTGCGAGGGTCTGGCTGCAGCTGACAGTCCATGTTTCAGAGCCATATAGAAGGATTCGACTGTAGCCAGGAACAGTCGTACCTTGGACGCATACCAGACTTCCATATCATCTTCATCTGGTAGCAAACCGCCCAAGCCTTAGCTGACCCTTAAGAACTCATTTTTGGAGCATCTCTGCCCGATTAATGAATTTTTAACCTGTTTCAGAACACCATGTAGCTCAGTTTGAGTTCGACGAAAAGCAACAATTATCGATCAGGTGCAGACCTAAAACCAAGATCCACATATATGAAGCTCTGCTCTTCGATCGTACTCCCGGATGCTCTGGTAGGTTAATAAACATATTTATATGTTTACAAAGATTGTTACCGAGTTACGATTTCCTTTGGATTTCATTTTTTTAGTGTGCAGGTCTTCATTATCTTTCTTTAAAATTAGAATTATACTCCAATCTGATTTAATTATGAATTCAGGTAAAGAAATTGAAAACGTTACGAAATCAATTTACAACATGTGTTCCGCTGCGGAACAGTGTCAAATATACGACCTTATAGAAACAAACTACAATGTTGCAGATGGTTGTAATTACGAAAGGCTGAATATTACTTTTGATTGTATGAACGACAGATTGATCAAGTTAACTAGATCGACCAGAAACACTGATGATAAGAATTCTTCCGTTGGATTAGTGATATTTTTACTGTGTACTCTTTTTTTGTTGCCAACATGTTGTGCATGCTGTGCCAATTGGTGCAAGGAGGATGAGCTGGACGACCACCATGTGTGTTCACTGATTGCTTATTTTTTGGGTGCAATATGTTGTTGGCCATGCATATTACTTTATTGTGTATATTATTGTTTTCTTGATTGTTGCAATATGGAGGATGAGGAGGCCACCAACTCAACAGCTGCAACCAGTGGCACCTACCCACCAGCCGCAACCAGTGGCACCTACCCACCAGCCGCAACCGGTGACACCTACCCACCACCCGCAATCAGTGGCACCAACCCAACAGCCGCAATCAGTGGCACCTACCCACCAGCCGCAACCAGTAGCACCTACCCACCTGCCACAACCAGTGGCACCTACCCACCAGCCGCAATCAGTGGCACCTACCCACCAGCCGCAACCAGTGGCACCTACCCACCAGCCGCAATCAGTGGCACCTACCCACCAGCCGCAATCAGTGGCACCTACCCACCAGCCGCAACTAGTGGCACCTACCCACCACCCGCAACCAGTGGCACTTACCCAGCCGCCGCAACCGGTGGCACCTTCCCACCTGCCACAACTAGTGGCACCTACCCACCACCCGCAACCGGTGGCACTTGCTCACCAGCCGCAACTGGTGGCACCTACCCACCACACGGAACCGTTGGAGCTAGGATATCTACCTTATCTGACCACTCTCCGCCAAGTTACAATGATGTCATTGACCTCCAACAGCTCCCACCGCCAAGTTACAATGATGTCACCACAAGTGGTGGAGGAACTACTCTACCAATGGCGGCTGGACGTTTGCAAAAACATCCTCATCAGTAAACAAGATCAACTAGTGTTGACCCAGTTAAATAGATGACTTACCTCACCAAAATTGGAGGTGATAAAAAACAGTTACGGAGTACGGACTAACGAACTAAATCAAATACTGTTAACAAAATAATAAGTTAATGTTTTATTATTATTAAGCTAATATTAATATTAAGTTATTATTAATAATTAACAAGCACCATGAGAGTAGATGTAGTTGAGTATTTTGATGTGAGTTGAGAGTGCTAGATCTATAATCTCGGTGCTGCTGTCTCGGCCTGTTATCAGTATCCACAGCACTTGGAGCACTTTGTCAGAGATTACTCCTTCCTTATCGTCCTCTGCCAGTCTGACATTTGTTTAATTAGCTTATTGTCTAATTGGAGGATTCGTTAATTGGTTATTATACATATCTTCAAGAATCAGTCTATAATGACGGTTTTTTTTCTAACCAGTTAACTAAACAGAATCTTCCAACAACCAATTTGACAAACATTTAATTCTAAAATATTGATAAAATCATCATCTTCACACACAAAAATAACAAATATTAATTCTAACCTTCCCATAAGTTCTAGAAGTTTCTCCTTAGTCTTATGATTGGCAGTCTCCCAACTCCTCTGGAATCTGATAAAGATAGCATCCAGAGAGTCGGGGTTCAGCACCCAGGCTAACTTAGCCAGAAGATCGTGAATATTCTTTACGATTGCCTCGTGTTTGTCGATCTGAGCATCCCATATGAGGTCTATGTCTGCTGTTGTCAACTTGTCCTCGTGTATTAAAAACCTAGGTTTATAAAAATATGTTAATTATTAATAATTGAAAACTGGCAGATAATTGATCTTAATTTTTAGATTTTAATTAATCACAATTTTAACAGAATTATCGAATATTTTGAATATTTCCAAGAAATTAATTTTGGAAACACTAACTTGAGGGTTTTGTCAAGTTTCTCAACGTATTGTGGCAGGTGGAGGTAGTCGGTGAACACAACGTTAAGAATCTTCTGATCTTTTAGCCAACATCCCAGGTCCTCGGAGGTAATACTGTCCGAGTCTTGGTTCTGTCTCCTTTAGGAGGGTTACTTATTAGCTACTAATTGAAATGTTCACTGATTAGCTGCTAATTAAAACGTTTTAATGTGTTTGAGTATCAACTATCATGGATTAATGAGTCTCACAGAATCAAGTACGGATAGTGAAGAATGGGAAATGACGACAAGTCGTGAAATTGCGAAAATTTACGTGACGTCATCACAATTCTCACGTGACGTCATCACAATTCTCACTCGACGTCATCACAATTCTCACGTGATGTCATCACAATTCTCACGCGACGTAATCAATTAATTGTGAAACGTGAAGCACAAACCGGTTAAAAAGGAAAGGAGTAATGATCCTGTTTAGTTCATTTAGCGCATTCATTTTCCCGTTGAAGCTGCTCGTTTTGATGAGTTTCAGTAAAAGATCCAAATGAAGAATTTCCACACCTTGGACCAACTTCTTCCTGCAGCAAAAATTAATGATATTTGAGAAATAATATTAGATACTGTATAAGTTAAATCAAATAATATTTGACTGTGAAATATTTCCATCATTTACATTAATCAAGTTATATGGGGGAGGGGCCCCCTGTATAGTTCTTGTATAAAGGCTACAAAACGAAAAAAATTGTAACACCAGTTATCCAACGAGGTCATCATTTCATCGAAACATCACGTGACGTCATCACAACATCACGTGACGTCATCACAACATCACGTGACGTCATCACAAAGCTTACTTGTCCTGGGGTGCCCGATGGAGTATCATCTTCAGTGTCTGTATCAGGCCGGAGAGAGTATCATTTCTTGTCTCCACTTTTGTCTCTTTCTTTAGCTGCTCGTCCGACAGGTTGGAAACGTAATCTGAAGAATTGTATTGATTTACAATGGCAAAAGGGTTGTCAAAATTCCCGAAATCCCCTAAACATTTTAAAACAAATTAAATAATATACAGATAGTTTAAGAAGGAATATACAGATGGTTTAAGAAGGAATATGGCGGTACTAACTTGTAACAATAAGGGTACAGGGTACTAGATACGTTTAAGAAGGAATATGGCGGTACTAACTTGTAACAATAAGGGTACAGGGTACTAGATACGTTTGCACGCAGGATGAGGTTAGCAGGTCAATACACAGACCAAACGGCTTGAGATATGCTGATACTAGCTGAAAGTATAGTTGTTTTTACCTAATAATTATGCAAACTTAACTAACTGGTCATTTTAATTTTAATTTATTCAATTGGTAGTATAACTAGTGAGTAGTGACTACTGGAGTTTGATTTAAATTTTATGTAAATTTTTTAAATAACCAGATCTTACCTCTAAGGATGGATTAGCAAAAGCTTTGAACTGATCTAGAACATTCTGAAACCCTTCATCACTCCCGAAGTTGTTGATCAGGTCCACCAGCCATCCCTTCGGGACCCGGAAGTCAGTGGGACGAGCGAAGATGTCAGCTCCGGGAATTTGGGACGAGGGTGGGACAGTTTTGCTGGGTTGGGAGGCGTTGTAGTGGTGAAACCTGTCATGGTGACGTCATTAAAATCAGGTAATTAATGGGTACGTGATATTCGGCCTAACACCAATCGTAGTGGTAGAACTTTATACATACAGCAACTATAATGGGATCATTTACGTCCTAAATATTTTCTTGGATATTATATAATATAAAATATCTTGATTAAATATCATAAAATAACTGATCGGATGGGAATCCACTACTTTTATCAACAAAGAATGGCATTGATAATCTCAAATAACGACTAACTTGGATGTAGGGTTAAAAACGATGGCCATCAGTCTCAGAAGGGCTATATTTTCACTCCTCATCTTCACTGCCATTAGTTTTACCAACAGTACTGAGTTATCAAATATGTAGCCCTGGATAGAGATTTTGTTACTACTACTTAGATGTATAGATGTTTAATTTCAATCTGAGGAGGTAAAATTCTCAGAATTTTTGTGCATTTTACATGAATAAATGATGAGCAGTAGGCCCAATCAAGAAAATAGAGTGCAGGAGAGTCCACAGAAGTGCATTACCCTCTCAAACACACACCACCCCCCATCCCCCACCCCCAACAGATAGCTCTCAGCAACCTCACCTGAATTTCAGGAGTCCAGCTCCCCCCCCCCACAGATAGCACTCAGCAACCTCACCTGAATTTCAGGAGTCCAGCTCCCCCCACCCCCCCCCCCAAATAGATAGCTCTCAGCAACCTTACCTGAATTTCAGGAGTCCAGCTCCCCCCACCCCCCCCCACCCCCCAACAGATAGCTCTCAGCAACCTTACCTGAATTTCAGGAGTCCAGCTCCCCCCACCCCCCCCCCCACCCCCAACAGATAGCACTCAGCAACTTCACCCGAATTTCAGGAGTCCAGCTCCCCCACCCCCCCCCCCAACAGATAGCTCTCAGCAACCTCACCTGAATTTCAGGAGTCCAGCTCCCCCACCCCCAACAGATAGCTCTCAGCAACCTCACCTGAATTTCAGGAGTCCAGCTCCCCCACCCCCCAACAGATAGCTCTCAGCAACCTCACCTGAATTTCAGGAGTCCAGCTCCCCCCACCCCCCAATAGATAGCTCTCAGCAACCTCACCTGAATTTCAGGAGTCCGGCTCCCCCCCACCCCCCAACAGATAGCTCTCAGCAACCTCACCTGAATTTCAGGAGTCCAGCTCCCCCCACCCCCCAACAGATAGCTCTCAGCAACCTCACCTGAATTTCAGGAGTCCGGCTCCCCCCACCCCCCAACAGATAGCTCTCAGCAACCTCACCTGAATTTCAGGAGTCCAGCTCCCCCCACCCCCCAATCTCCCAATAGATAGCTCTCAGCAACCTCACCTGAATTTCAGGAGTCCAGCCCCCCCCCCCCCACAGATAGCACTCAGCAACCTCACCTGAATTTCAGGAGTCCAGCCCCCCCCCCCCCCCCCCCACAGATAGCTCTCAGCAACCTCACCTGAATTTCAGGAGTCCAGCTCCCCCCCCCCCCACAGATAGCACTCAGCAACCTCACCTGAATTTCAGGAGTCCAGCCCCCCCCCCCCACAGATAGCTCTCAGCAACCTCACCTGAATTTCAGGAGTCCAGCTCCCCCCCCACAGATAGCTCTCAGCAACCTCACCTGAATTTCAGGAGTCCAGCTCCCCCCCCCCCCCCCACAGATAGCTCTCAGCAACCTCACCTGAATTTCAGGAGTCCAGCCCCCCCCCCCACAGATAGCACTCAGCAACCTCACCTGAATTTCAGGAGTCCAGCTCCCCCCCCCCACAGATAGCACTCAGCAACCTCACCTGAATTTCAGGAGTCCAGCTCCCCCCCCCCCTAATAGATAGCTCTCAGCAACCTTACCTGAATTTCAGGAGTCCAGCTCCCCCCCCCCCCCCAAATAGATAGCTCTCAGCAACCTCACCTGAATTTCAGGAGTCCAGCTCCCCCCACCCCCCAACAGATAGCTCACAGCAACCTCACCTGAATTTCAGGAGTCCAGCTCCCCCACCCCCAACAGATAGCTCACAGCAACCTCACCTGAATTTCAGGAGTCCAGCTCCCCCCCCCCCCCAATAGATAGCTCTCAGCAACCTCACCTGAATTTTAGGAGTCCAGCTCCCCCCACCCCCCCCCCCCCCCCCCCCCCCCAACAGATAGCTCTCAGCAACCTCACCTGAATTTCAGGAGTCCAGCTCCCCCACCCCCAACAGATAGCTCTCAGCAACCTCACCTGAATTTCAGGAGTCCAGCTCCCCCCCCCCACCAATAGATAGCTCTCAGCAACCTCACCTGAATTTCAGGAGTCCAGCTCCCCCACCCCCAACAGATAGCTCTCAGCAACCTCACCTGAATTTCAGGAGTCCAGCTCCCCCCCCCCCCCCCCAACAGATAGCTCTCAGCAACCTCACCTGAATTTCAGGAGTCCAGCTCCCCCACCCCCAACAGATAGCTCTCAGCAACCTCACCTGAATTTCAGGAGTCCAGCTCCCCCCCCCCCCCCCCACCAATAGATAGCTCTCAGCAACCTCACCTGAATTTTAGGAGTCCAGCTCCCCCCACCCCCCAATAGATAGCTCTCAGCAACCTCACCTGAATTTCAGGAGTCCAGCTCCCCCCACCCCCCAATAGATAGCTCTCAGCAACCTCACCTGAATTTTAGGAGTCCAGCTCCCCCCACCCCCCAATAGATAGCTCTCAGCAACCTCACCTGAATTTTAGGAGTCCAGCTCCCCCCACCCCCCAATAGATAGCTCTCAGCAACCTCACCTGAATTTTAGGAGTCCAGCTCCCCCCCCCACCAATAGATAGCTCTCAGCAACCTCACCTGAATTTCAGGAGTCCAGCTGTTTACAGCACTGTCAGTGAGAACCTTAAGAAAGGAGTTAGATAGAGTTTCCTGGTAGAACTTTTGGCAGGCCTCGTTCTCGTCGTCTTGCTCCGATCTGGCCAGTTCAAGACAAGCTTTGAGAAGCCGCTCTAGCTCCTGTCCTGGTTCTACCGGTACTTTCCAGCCTGGACTGTTCACCATCCTGAGTTGTGGAGAGGGGTTAAAATGCAAAGTCAGCTTTATAATAATTAACATTATTATTAATTATCATTCTGGTGGATTCTAGACCTAGTATTAATTTCTATCAATTTGATGTACATTTAGTTCTACAGTAGAATACTTGCCTGTTGATATATATAATATAAGTCAAACCTGCCACAGCTAGAGAGCCATGAAGGGGCAGCAAGCAAGGCCCGGACCAAAACATACTGAGCCGACTGGGGTCTGGGTATAAAAAATATCAATTTATTGGGCAGTATGTTTTGGTCCGGGCAGTATTGGGCAGTATGTTTTGGTCCGGGCCTTGCTTGCTGGCCCTGCCATGGCTCTCTAGCTTGGGCATTTTTTCCTTATAAGGAAAAAATAGTTAACAACTCGCCTGTCGATAGTAGCTAGGTCAGCGTAAGGGAACTCATCAGAAGCTCCACTAACAGAGATACCAGAGTCAGTGGCGGGTACTGAAGAGGTGGTGTCAAACCCTGAGGTGGTGTCAAACCCTGAGGTGGTGTCAAACCCTGCTTGTGCTTCCGGGTCCACTTCCAGGTCTGGTCCTGAGAGTTTGAGGATCATGTATTACTGTAGGTAATTAAAATGAGTGGAATTATGTGAATACCTACTGAGATAAGTGTTCCTTTAAACTGGTCACCAGTGGTCTTCAGTGGTCATTGAGTCTCAAGAGATTACTTTTGTGGTACCTAAAACAATCTCAAAAGAACAACAATTATTTCTACATGACATCATTATAATACAATATAATACTTATCTGTCTTATTGAGATAATATGACAATCTAGAATCGCACACCATACAAATTGTGTGTGATCCACAAAACTGACCATAAAGAACGTTGTTGAGTTGGAAGACATCGTGAGCAGCGTTACGTCTGGAGGGTCTTGCGGAGTAATTCTCAGGAAATACTGAATCTTCCTCGTAAAACTCCTGCTCAGGATAAAGGTATATAACACAATTTATCAATGAACTAATAAACCTGTAAAATAAAATTAATAATAATGAAATAATAAACCTGTAAATTAACAAATCAATGAAATAATAAACCTGTAAATTAACAAATAAATGGACTAATAAACCTGTAAATTAACAAATAAATGAACTAATAAACCTGTTCGATAAGATCTGGTGAGTTGGAAGGGACAGGAATGTTCCTGCATTTCACAGCTGACTCAGCAGTTGTATCTGATATTATCAGTTCGTCTAGGGATATGGAGTCGATGTCGGGGACGTCGGTCGTCTCTTGACCTAACATGGCATGATATGGCGCAGGGATGAGGCGACACGTGCGTTACATCCTAGTGCAAAGGGTGTTTATTTGCGCGTGCAATTTTATCAAATGTATTTGTTGTGCACAATCATTAGCAGGTGCCAGTTTTACGGGTTTGTGTTTACAAGGAGACTTACTGTGACTAGGTTTTATGGAATTTTGGGATATAATTCTATACATTTACTGTAGTACTTACTGTAAACATCATTATTATTAAAAAACTTTAATTAGTAAACATCACCATATTATTTGGTAACTTTTTAAAACATTTTGATTTAGACTAAAACAATTCTGAAAAGTATTTACCCAAATTGGTACCGTCCTATGCAAGGAGAATTAAAATCAGACAGAAACTTTCAAATTGACTCAGGTTAGTACACTTTATCAAGCTGATTAGCAAATAGTAAACATTTCCTATTTTAATGTAACTAGTTAAAGATTCCTACTATTCAGGGAATCTTTGAAGGGACAACTTTTTACCTTCCAGCAGTGACTAATCATATTCCCGAATCTTCAATTTTTATCACGTGCGAAAACAAATAATATGGCTTACCTGACGACCTGAATCCACATTCCACATCAATAGTTTTCCTTATGAGACCAGATCAAAATTCAATACAATTGTATCTTTATGTTGGTTATATTTATGAGGGCTAATACAAATCAAGATGCCTTTGACAAGAGTAAAACTTTCGATGTAGTAATTTGAAGAATTCATTATTATGAGTTCAGCAATTGCATAGTGTAATTTTAAAACAATTTAAACGCTTCTCAAAAAGTCAATGTGACATTATCATAGCTCCATAGAACGCTCAAAAAGTTTGAATGACCTTTGAAGAAAACAAAATTTAATAAATACAACTTATCTCAAGAAATATCTGAAACAAAAACGAAGCTCACTCAGTATCAAAACAACAAAATAACCACCCAACTCTAACTCCAACTAACGTACCATTTTCCACGATCACCTAAACATATTTCTAAGATTATTTGACATCATCTTATCATTTTGCTTCACTCTGCCCTCAACAACACCCAACAACTTGGTGGTTTCCACGTGATCAGGATCTAGATCGAATATCCTGCTGACATCTCGCTTACAATCCTCAAACTCGTTTATATGACAGTAAGCCCAAGCTCGCCGGTACAGAGTCTTTATAATGTGTTCCTGACATTTCGGGATTTGTACAGCTAACTCCGGGTTGTCGAAACAGTCTAGAACAAACTTACTATGGTAAATAACCCCGTCATAGGCATTCATCTTCATGAAACACAAGGAAATGTTCATGCGAATCAAACATATTTTCTCCTCGTGGTTGTCCTCAGGCACAGCCCTACAACCATCCGAAACCAACAACTTCAGCGCTAACCCGTACTTCTCAGCAGCAAGCAAGTAGTCCCTCCCTTTTAACAGGTTAGTACCCAGCACCTTCATCTCGGCAGCTACACTGTGTTTCTGTGTGATGTCCATCTCCCAGGTATCAACTGCTGGTGAGAAACTCTCCAGTTGTACTTGTATAATTATAAGCTGGTCTAGGTAGTTAGCTCGGAATTCAGAGCATTCACCGCATCTCATCTTCATGAGGCAGGAGTCTATGATGTGCCATGCAATCCCGCTGTTGTGTTGTAGCTTGTAGGAGTGGGGGGTGTCTAGCTGTATGCTTTGGAACAGATCACTGCAATAAATAACCCTGGTTATACACTTGAGAAGTCAGGTGATGCTTCATCTGTACAAAGGTACAATCATGACGTAATCATGACACAATCATGACGCAATAATGACGCAATCATGACGTAATCATGACACAATCATGATGCAATCATGACGTAATAATGACACAATCATGACGCAATAATGACGCAATCATGACGTAATCATGACGCAATCATGACGCAATCATGACACAATCATGACGCAATAATGACGCAATAATGACGCAATCATGACGTAATCATGACGCAATCATGACGCAATCATGACACAATCATGACGTAATCATGACACAATCATGACGCAATCATGACGCAATCATGACACAATCATGACACAATCATGACGCAATCATGACGTAATAATGACACAATCATGACGCAATAATGACGCAATCATGACGTAATCATGACACAATCATGATGCAATCATGACGTAATAATGACACAATCATGACGCAATAATGACGCAATCATGACGTAATCATGACGCAATCATGACGCAATCATGACACAATCATGACGCAATAATGACGCAATCATGACGTAATCATGACGTAATCATACGAATTATTTGAGCCTATAGATTTGATAACATTCTTGTATATGTGAAGTAATTCTAGTATAATATATACAATGTAAAGTAATAGTTGATCTCCTTACCTATTTCGTTGCAGGAGTGTAAATTTTACATCGCTGAACACGTTAGGTAGACTCAATTTCTCTCCTTCAGTAAATACCTTAGACTTCGTTATTAACATCACACTATTTGAAAAACAAGGCATTAGATTAATTATTTAAAGAATAGAACTCTTATTAGCTTACTTCAGGTTGAGAATAACGACATTTTGTGCAACAAATCACCAGAAACGTTTTCATTTTCGGAAGTATTATTTGTTGGATTTCATGATGGCAGTGGGTTCCCAAATCACTGAAATCAGTGCCAACAATGCCACAAACAGAAATACAGTAGAAATACAACTGCAATTTAAAGTTGTTAGCAGAGAATATATAAAAGCCAAATTATATGACTGAAAAAGAAAAAATTGGCAAATCCAAAGGGTTAAAACACCTACAGAGTTAATAAAGATGACGTGTTTGCGTGTAACCAAAAAGTGTGTAAATGCAAACATAGGCCTCACTTTATGCAAAATGTTACAGCTTGGCTGACAGCTTATCTTCAATAGTCTTAGCAGTATTAATCACTTGTTCCCGTAATGTTGTATTAATTCGTAAACTGAATATCTGTTTTTTATGTAAGTAATCACATTTAACACACTTTTAATTTGCTGAAAATCAGTTTCAGGAGACAATCGTCAATCATTACATGTTGAAATTACTCGCAGATAAAATGAACTTCAATAAGATTAACTGAATCAAAGGAACATGACAGTGAAAAATGGCCTCGTACAATTTCAGAGTGTAGGAGCAATGGAGGATGTGATAAAACGTTCGGGGAACACATTTGGCACAAACGAGGCTTTCATCCTAACTCAATTATCCATAGCTGCAGTACCCACTGCAGCTATCATCTTCTTGGACATAATAACAAATCAAATACCACAGGTAAGCTACATTACACTGATCACTTACTTGAGCACTGCTATTATTTTTAGTAATAATAATTATCATACATACATTCCTTTCTGATAATTTTGAGATGAACACTGTAATTTTAAAATAATCATTATCATACCGAGGTCACTAACAAGCGTACACTTTTTAAACAAGGTCTGCATTAAAGATGAAGATGGAAATTGTAATTTGTATCCTGGAGTATCCTTAGATGTATGTGTTAACGACTCATCCACATGGGACTACATTTACCCCCAGGCATCTATTGTCTCCAATTTTGATCTATTATGCTATCCATCGTGAGTGCCTTTTGCCTAATACTATACATACAATGAATCTGATTTTATTGACACACCGAAAAAATCAACCTGTTAAAGCCAAAGCAAAACGACAATAAAAAACCAAGCCCAAAACCAATATATTATATCCTCTTTATAACGACAGGTGGTGGCTGACACTCCCAGCGTTTGTGTTCTACTTGGGTATGATTCTTGGTTGTGTTTTTGCTGGTCTCATGTCAGATTATATTGGCAGGTAATATCGTTAGATTAAAAGAAATATCATGACAAGCATAAATTCTTTAACAGTTGATTTTATACATTTGTCTTTAGCGGATTAGGAATTAATTTGTTGAATGACTTTATTTAAGTTCACTTCACAGTTTCTGATATTCAGTAACATTTCTAAAGCTTGAGGTGTTATAACGATGATCAACTCCATAGCAACTAAAACATATTTCCTGTGGTATTAATCTTTAACTGTGTATAGATAACAGTAAAGATGTTTATCTATCATGCATATATATTACAGGAAACCAGTATTGATGATACTTCTTTTCCTAGAGGATGTTTTTTTAGGACTCCTCATAATTGCTGAGTCTTACCAAGTTTGGCTTGTTTTCAGGTGAGCTCTCATTATAAACTTGACATTTTGGAAAAATAAATAAATCACTCAGCATTTTGTTGTTTTCAAACCTAGGTTAAACATTTTCATAATAATCCATATTTTAATGGTAAGGCAGATAAAAGTTCAATAATTAGTTAATATTTCAGATTCTTTACAGGTCTTTTCATTGGATACTTTGTTGTTTCGAAGGTTTTGATAATAGAAGGATTAAAAGTTCGGTACAGACACTCATTCTTGGCTGCAATATGGTGTTGCTTTGCAGTAGGTAAGTGCTACATAATCGACTTACAATCTGATAACGTAATGTCTTTGTGTCAGATACTTTCGTTTTACTTAAAATTGCACAGAAATCAGATATTATATGCATAATATATTTACCTATTATTATTAGGTTTTCTGTTCCTGTCATTGTTGGCTTATGTATTCACAAAATATATCGATATGATAGCATGCATAGTTCTTCTGGTGGCGTTCCTTTGGGGAATTTATCTTTTCGGTATCGAAGAATCCCTGAGATGGTTATTAGTAAAACGAAAGGTAAGAATTCTTTACTCTGGAATTATGCTCATACACTACGGGCTATTGATTGATACCTCATATTATGACATATCACACTTATTCAAATGAGGATCAGAGTGAAGAGTCTTGAATTTTTGAATAGCTAATAGCTATAATACTATGCAACCATTGCCTTAAATTAGGGACCTTAATTGCATCTTTGATACCATTCCAGGAAGAACAGGCATCATATCTTTTAGGAAAAATATCATACAGAAATAAAGTCGATTTACCAAGCTACAATGAAATAAGGAAACCTCAGGATGATGATTTCAACATTTTGGACATGTTCAGATTAAATGAATCACGTATGTAATCGGATATTCTCGAAATAGCTGAGTTGATACAAATCACAGTTTTTGATATATTATCATCATTACAATTAATACAAATACCTGCTACATGATTGAATTTGTAGTGATTATCGAGGACATTCAGATACAGCATACAAAACTTAGTTAGTCTTCCATCAACATTTCTGTGACACTCAAGGTCTCTGTAGCCAATGTCTTGTCATTTTGACTTGCTTATCAACTACTACAGTATAGCTAACCAACTAATCTTGCAGGATATTTGATGACCGTATTAATTGTCTTAAGTATAGTGAGTTTCTATCTTCTGGTGACTTACACTATAGATGTGGGCATAACCATCTTCAATGTAACAAGGTTGGTATTCTACAAGTTCAACAATAATAATATGATATCTTTACAGCTCAGTACAACAAATGACTATGTAACACTCATTATATTATAATATATGCATTATACAGTGAATAAAGTCCATTTTCTGGTCTATCAATAACAACTGTTCCAGTGTTCCTGTTAATTTGTTGATCGTTGGAGTAGCACATCTAATAGGTGTACTGCTTGCAGCAGTCAGCTGCTACTACTGGGGAAGAAGGGCCACAGTCAGCAGCCTGCATATCATAATCTTGGGATTACTAATACTTATGTGCGGTGAGTTTAATCATGGCTAACAATGTATCCGAGGCAGTAAATTGGTATAGATAAACCATATTGAGCAAAAAATGCTTTAGTCAAAGGTATTTCTAATTCATATGCTCTTTGTTCCATTACAAATTTCAGCCCTCACAAAGTATGTACTGATTACAATGATATGTGCGATCGGAGTAAGATGCTTATCAGCTGGTTTGGTATACTTTTATTCACTGTACTCATTGGAGGTATTTGCAACCCCTCTACGAGCAAAAGCCATGGGAATGATAACATCAGGTATTAAAGTAATAATTTACTCGCAGCTGTTACTGCGAATGTTTATGGCTAACAATATTAAAATAGGTTCCTGAAGAGATTTGTCCATCTAAGGTATCATATTATAACGATACCCTCATGTCTGCATGGTATCTAGGGCTGTGCATTCTGTGAATAAGAGTAGCCTTTGACTGCATTAATATGGCAACTGATTTCATTTTAGGATCAGCTGTGGGTGGACTATTAGCATCATTCTTAGACTTCTTTGAAATGGATCAAGATGTCAACATACCTATCCAGATTGTAACTATAGTAGCTGTTTTTGTTGTGACAATTGCAACATTTTCCTTGAGGGAGACAAAAGGAGCATCTTTGCCAGAGCGCATTGAAACAATGCCTCAGGTAACGACTTTGTTTAAGCTAATCTTCTGAGATCGATAAACTTTTAGCTGAAATCTCTAATTTTTACAGTGCAGTGATAGGAACTCTGCATTTTTGATGAAAAATTGATCAGAAGTGGTTGGGTAATGATTGGTTTAACTTTTATAATGTGTATTTTGATTTACTGACCTCAAGTTACTTCCAGGTTTTACCAAACTTGCTTTCAGATATT